CAGAGAAACAACAAATTTTACTTTTTGGTGAAAAAGACTATAAATGTATATAATAAAATTAATATAATGGAAATAAATAGACGAAAAATGTGCATGTTTCACTTTCAATTTCGATTCTCGATAATCGCTCCACAGGATGTAACATGATTTTGATATGGTATTGCTTTAATTATCTGTGTGTTAATGATTAGAAAATACAAAAAGGTCGTTGAAAATTTTTTTTTCAGTAGAAATTAATTTGCCTCAATATATTAGGCTTCAAAATATCAGCTTATTTTAAAACAGAAATAATAGATATTCAATTAACAAAGCTATTAAAAGTACAGAATGCATATTTTTCACCGCTTTTTACGTACTTTTTTACATGTATAAATTAATGCTATTCATATATATGTTGTTTTCTATATTCAGAAGCCATCAAAAGTGTTCGAGATAAAAACAAAAGTTAGCAACACTCAAAATTAAACGATTGATATTTACACACGCACCCTAATTTTTGTCGCATTGCACAATACCCTCCCCTTCCCTCCATCCCCCCTCCCCGATCCCCACACCGCACACACAAACTATAAATTCGTACTGTAAACATTCAGCAAATACTATAAATATATGCCCTCTACTGAAATGAATTCTCTACAATTTTTGTTCATTCCAATCAAAAACCTTAGTGTAATGTCGGCACAGTAATTGTAATAATACTCCATATCCAGACAGACAACATAGTGTTCACAGATAAAAAAAGAGAAAAAAAACATACCGACAATATCGACGCCGGTCAATTAACTGAATGCTGATTATATCTTCAATTTGAGACCAATAGTTATGGTTCTTTGTTTTTTTCAAATACGGAAATTAACAAATAGATAATCATATGTTAGATACAGAGACCAACAATATCAAATGTTGTGGATGCTAAATAAAATATGACGATAAATGACACATATTTAAAGAAAACGCAGCAAAATGTGCCAATCACCCGCCCCGACAGTCATTTGTGACTGCCTTGGTCAATTTGCATGATTTGGCGCATTTCTCTGCGTTTCCTTCAAATGTGTGTAATTTTGCATCATATTTCATTTAGCACCCAAAACATTTGATAATGTGGGTATCTGTATCCCAGGACCAACCACATAAACATTTACGGAACTCTGTATCCCAGGATTCATTTAATTGGATGCTTAATTTTTGTAAATCATTAGTTATCTAGTTATCTTTTGTGTAGTTTGCCAATATGAAAGGAGACAACGTTCATTTAATTATCTATTTACCACATATATATATATATAGGGCATGTATTATATTTGCCTTCAGGTTTATATGATCCATTCATCCTTTTTGGACTCTTCAAAATTCAAGAGTCTATCCTAAATTGAGGTAAATTTTATGGCCTTCCAAATACCGTTTCGATTCCTAACATCACTGAAGAGACATTAATTGTCGAAATCCGGATATGTTGTACAAATTTTTGCACCTCATGTTTGCAGTATACCATCTTTTCCGCAAGTTTATTGTTTTCTGTTTGGTATTAAATTAATAAAAAAGATCCATTTTGTTACATCCTGTGATCCGTTTATTTTGCAATTGCCAATGGCAGTCAGCAGGGTTTAAGAACATCCGTTGTTCGACCTGTTAGTCAAATGCGTTTTGTTTAAATATACCTTTTCACTTTTTTGGTCATTTGGATAATGTTGTATAATATAATATTTATATACACGTCTAAATATGTGACAACTTTATGGCATTTTCCATTGGATAACACATGGCTAACCGGGGCTTACACTATAATATATATATAATTCGTCTCGAACAATATATGTATATCTTACAATTGACATTCAAAAGTTTCCATCAATATGTGACGCTTCAACGATTCTGATCTCACCGTCAATACAAATCCATGTAGTCTTACATAAGCTGTTATGTCGTACGTATCGTGTGTCACTAATAACTTATGAGAAAACGTATTAAATCTTAGAAATGATAAAGAAAACAAACAATCCCCATGTTTTAAATTAATAACAAGAGTAATCGTTATTTAAAAGAAGAATTGTGATAATTTTTCTTCTTAAGCTACTCGAGTTATATGAGTATGTATGACGTCGTGAGCCTACATTAAAGAAGTCGCCTAGGAAAACAGCGATATAAATCATAAGACGATGTTTTTCGGGTACATCTCATTTCAGGGCTATCGACTTTCGATGACATCTCATCTCAGGGCTATCGACTTTCGATGAAATTGTAGCTCAGAAACACCCTCTTGTTTAAAAAAACTATCGTTAATCTATGAATATCTACATTTTGGAAATATTTTATATGGACTGAAAACAAATATTATGAGAATTTGTTCATTATATTTTAATTATATTTTCGATTTTCTCCTAATCTTATATGATATTTGTTTCTACCCAAAAATACAACTGATATTTGAATTCTGAAATACAAAGAGTTGATGTTTTCCAGCTAAAATACAACTAATATTTGAATTCTGACATATATGGTATTGGTGGTTTGTTAGCAGTTAAAGTGAAATAACACGAGTTTCCTGTAATTGTAATGTTAATGAAATTATTGAATCAATGAATTCATATATACTAAGCCAAGTCCTGTATGCACGTTGTTTTTTGTATTTATTACGTAACGTATTGTTGACAAATAAAATTCCATATGTTGATTGATAAACGCAAGCAAATTAACTTTCGAGTTTGTTTCCGATGTTTACCGGGTAGTGACATTGTTAAACAATCAAAACAGAGCAAGTGTTCACGTGACAAATACGTGAATTGATAGAATAGAGCCATGATATTTATATTTTCCATGCGTTCTCATTTGTTAATTAAAATAATCCTTAATAGTTGTTAAATGATTTGTTGTATTACATTTTTTTCTTAAAATTAAGAATCAGTAATTTTAAAGTACCTACCAGTGCACGTTTGTTTACATTATATAGGTCCTGTGGCTTTTCTTGGTGAATTTTGGTTTGTGTTCACCACGCCTAGCGATTCCGCAGAAAATATAACTGAATTTTGGTCAAAATAGAAATGTGTACTAAGACGAAACATTACTCCGAAAGCTTTCCAGCAGTTAGATATATAAATGATATAACAACCAATCATTTATAGCCAGCGATTTTATATCCATTTCATATAAATAAGAAGATGTGGCATGAGTGCCAATGAGACAACTCTTCATCCAAGTCACAATGTATAAAAAGTTACCAATTATAGGTCAAAGTACGGCCTTCAACACGGAGCCTTGGCTTACACCGAACAGCAAGCTATAAAGGCCCAAAATGACTAGTGTAAAACAATTCAAACAGGAAAACCAACGGTCTAATCTATATAAAAAAACAAGAAACGAGAAACACATATGAACCACACCAACAAACGACAACCACTGAACAACAGGCTCCTAACTTAGGACAGGTGCATAAAAATGCAGGGGGTTTAAACGTTTTAACAAAAGCCAAACTTCACGCTTACATGAGACAGTAGTGTAACATTACAACATAAAAAAAGACACACTATAAAATATCAATTGAAATAGCTTAACTCGATCAATAAGACATTTAAACAAAAACGAGTAAACATACACTGAACGAATAAGTTTGACCTATGACACAATATAAATACAATATGAACACGAATGTGCCTAAGTAACATAAACGTTACAGGTAGTTATTAAAAAGATGTAGCAAGAGTGCCAGAAAGACAACTCTTACCTGGGACAAAATGACGTTAAATAAAACAACGTACACTGGTAAACTTAAATATGATAATTCTGTTGTTAGGAGTACGGAAGTAAACATTGTTCAGAGTACGAGTACAGAGGTGAAAATGTATCGTCACACTAATTACTTAGCAAAGGTGGTACCTATTGAAAATAGTGAGACGAGATATAACGCATAATAAGTAAACATAGAATTACAGAAATGCATTACAAATTGTGTCAACATGTCAAATTAACACAAAAGTACGTGACCTGTTGACACAATTTATAATGCATTTGTGTAATTCTATGTTTACTTATTATGTTGTATATCTCGTCTTATTATTTTTAAACGTATTGAATTAAGCATTTAAAAAGCAAGCTGAAAGCATAAAACGGAAATATATTTTATTACTTGCAGAATCTTTTGTTTATTCATATCATTAATGTCGCTTTGAGTATGTGACAATGCCGCGCTACTTATAGTATCATATAAGAGGACATAACAATTAATTGACTAAAATTCAAAGATGAAAATATTTACCAAAGTTTCTGAAACAGGCATCAGCTGTAAAATTCCTGTCCACCGATATGACCAAAACTCTTATATTGTATTTATAAAATACTAAAACGTATATCTAAATTACAAAAAGTCAAAAAGAAACAATTAACAATTCATGGGCTCTCTATAATGAATCAACATTTCTGACGTATTTTAAACCAGACGCTACCTTATTATCAATCGAGATGAGCTCTGAAAACTAGCAACGGTCATATCACCCGATATAAAAGTTCATCAATATGAATATAAAATGAAAATAAATAGCGAGCAGTTTAATCAGATTTTTCTAGGTTTACCTGATTTATTGTTGTAGGTTAAAAATAGAAGTAAATTATCGTTTTACATGAATAAGAATGATTTTTGTAGGCCGGATCAGTCAATTGATATTCATGGTGGCTCCCATATTCCACTTTTCAATGTTGACATGTTTTTCATTTGAATGCATAAACCACATTATGGACACATTCGGACCATCTACAATAAAGGTAAAATTAAAAGGTTCCATGAATACAGATTTAAATGAGTTGAATTATTGACTTGCAAGCCAATAATATATCATCGATGTTTTTCAAGATTATTTTGACAAAATTGCACCAAATTTACTGCATATAGCAGAATAGTATTTCTATAATCCGCATTATAAATGTATGAAGAAAAAAAATCATATGCCAAGCTGTTTGTTTTATTTGTATCTAATTTCCCTTTAATGAAATATTAGAATATGTGTACTCACCAAGAAATAGACAGGCGATAACAATAATGAGGTTTATCAAATGAAGTTTACTTTGCAAATGACTACAAACGCGCGAAACATACCAAAGAAATGAGACATTGTTTCCAGATGAGGTACAATACAGGTTTATTACTTGATTTCACAAAGATCGAAATAATGGAAACCCCTTAACAGTCCTCAAGCTATTTGAGATCACAAAAATCTGTCGCGTGATTTTTACTTGTATAAGCGCTTATTGAAATGACTGGTTAATCATTATTACGTAAGAAAATTTTAAGAAATATGTTCAGCTGTGACGTTCTTTAATTGTCAAAGGCATTATTTAAAAAAACAAATCCGTCTTTGTGAATAAACATGAACACTTAATAGTTATTTACAACATAAAAAGTTTTACTTACACAAATCTGTGCATGTTAATAAAATAGAGATATTCATTTCTTTAATCATTTTGTCATTAAAATATTTAATTTATCCTTTGACGATAATTTTGTTTTGTAAATTGTATAAGTTAGTTAAGGAGAAGTGATGCTCAAAAGTTACCCTATAACATATATCCCACCCGATATTATCATTCTATTTCTGAAGCAATGTTTCCAAACCGTTGATCTGCCGTAGACATACAGAATGACAGCATTTCATCATGATCAGCCATGGATTTGGCTAATTTGTAACTGGTTCTTGATAAAAGTGTTCATATGACATGTAAGGCGATTGACATCTTTAACTGTGGCAGTTCCAAATACAATTTTTGAAATGGAACCATTATAACTACAGCTTTGTATCTTTGATTCAATATGTAGATTATCTCTTGGAACAAGTTGGTGAATGGTATCAATATTGTTATTTTACATTTGATGATATATGTGCCCGTACTGCAGATAGTGTGGATATCTCATGATTGAGAATATTACAATGTCATATTGTCTGATCCATTCTCGTCATAATGGAAATAATTCCAAAAATATAGCAAGTCTTATTATTATGTAATGCATTATGATTAATGGTGTCAAAATGCATCCTTTTATATCTATGTAGCTGTTTATAAATATGTTAAATATGAAGAAGACATAGAAGTATGATGTCAAAGTATTACGCAAAAGTATGACGAAAACAAATTACTCAATATTGTTGTTCAATTTTCCAGGAATTAAAATTAAACAACTAAATGAACTAGTTCAGTCTTAATTCTGCTGCGCTAGATTTTTTTAAAGAGAACATACACAAACCTTCAATTTCAAAACAATATCAGAAGGGAGTAAGGTACCTAGAATTATGTTGTTTCCCTTTCAGAAACAATGAGTAGAGGATACTTAACTACACCGATCTTACTTTTTTAATGGGAAATTAAATATTGAGAATTTTGTTAAATATACAAGTCATAAACAACACCGAAAGAGAAAAAATGTTTAAAGATAAGTGCTGTTGAAACCAGTCGTAGGCAATCAACGCTGTTCCTTTACTGAAACTGGATGTTCATTACCTTTCTGAAATGTTGTTTACTTAAGCAAACTCGGTACAATTTTCTCAGAAACAACATTATAGATCCTAGACTTAATTCAAATTGTTGTTTGCTTTCATCCACTTGAAAGGTAATAAATTGAAAATTAAAAATTAAAGTTGTTACTATGTTGTATATTCTTGTCATAACATACTTTCGTATAAGTGTGGCCTTGTTTGTGTTTGAACAAATACGTACATATAAAAGGAAACACTGTCACTTGATTGAACATCATGTTCTGTATCATAACATGATCATATAATGTTCAAAAAAGAAAAAAAATAATTTTCCCGGACATAATTTTCTCAGAAAGAAAATTCTGATCATTTAAAGGAATAATCTTATAAATTCAGACGCAGATCTTGTTAGTATCTGTCTCACTTGTCGAGGTAGACGTAAGGAAGGTAAGAATTTCTACGCAAATGTGTTTATTTAAATAATTTGCGTTTTATATACAATGCTTTATTATATTCAAAGGTTTCAATTACAAGAAAGCTTTATTAACATTATTACACTTCTTTGGAATAAAATACTAAACATGCTATATCTGCGGCAAACATTAGGTAGCAGCTCTGTAGGATCAGAACTTCAGCGACATTACATCTGTCGTAATGTTAATTTCAACTATTGCACCCTTAAGAAAAATGTGTCTTCATTGTTTCTTTGGGCGCAATATGGCTAGGACCATTTTAATATACAGGTTCAAATCAACATAGTTGTGCTTAAAATAAAATACATCTTAAAAGTGTCTGATTAAACGAGTTCAAATTTAACGTTTTGTTTAGGACATAATGTATTTTGCATTTTAATTTATAAAACCGAATACAGTTTACACTCCCGGCATTATACCAGACAAAACGGACCGTCTAAAGACGAGGCCTCGTGGTTTGTTTCTTGAAAAGCAGACACCATAATCATAGTAAAATGGAAATTTGCAGTTAAAGCAGCACAATAATATTTTTTTTTAAATCAGATATATATAACTCTTCTACGCCAACTTTGTTTTGAAATATTCGATGCTCGTATCATCGACGAATTAATTGTATTCTTATTTCGTATCAAAAGATCACAACGGTAATAAAAAAATACCATTTAAACACGTTTTCTCAATACTTTAAAATCGTGAATGGGTCTAACAATTTATTATTTTGAAATGATATGATAGCAAGAGTATCGAGGTATTTATCAATTATAAAGCGGCTAAACAACAAAAACAAATATCTTGAAGTCAGCAAACGATCTACAAAAGTGAACAAAACTTGTGAATAAATTCAGATATTTGCGAAGTTTTGTACCAAATTCCAAAAATTACACAAACTATAAGATATAATTAGAAATACAACAACAAATGTCATGTCATGTCCTAGACATGGTACACTATCCACAGTGAAAGATGAAATCACTAACTTCTGTTTTCAAAAAAACATACACCAGATAAAAAAAAAGAATGATACAATACAAATCTATTTTTACTTGCAATGGTTTTACTTTTTCTTATCAAAATGATTATTATTGTTTTAAATTTCAAATGGAGGTAAGTCACACTTAAAGAAACCAAAAACGTTTTCCCAGTGCTTCAAAAAAGAGGCGAAGGATACCAAAGGGACATTCAAACTCACAAACTGAAAATAAACTGACAGCGCCTTGACAACTATTGATTAAGTAGTGATTTATTAGAATTACTTTGTTCAACGCCAGTTGTTAATATTAATCTTGATTGCAAATGCATTTGCAACACAAACATTGACTCTTGATTATTGATTTTTTAATGTCCAATGGCAACTATATGTCATGCATATTAAGAGCGAACATAAAAATTTTTGCTCAGGACCTTCCTGTTACTGAATACTGAGAATTAAACCTTTAACCAGCAGTTTCCCTGAAATATATTGATTTATTGCGCACAAGAAATATTATTTCAATAAATCTGGATTTTTTATAGACAGGATTTTTTGCCAGTGTGTGACCTATTAAGAGTATGATCACCAACACCTATTTTGCGATTCATATTTTCAAGTAACAGTCCACTTCCTATTGGCATTGACGTCTTTTAACCAAGTTGAGGCTTTGGCTGCCAAGATTGAAATTATTTTTGTCACCAGAAATAAAATTCAAGTTACGCTACTGTCAATTGAGTATCAGTTGGTTGTTTTACGTCCTGTGGCAAATATTTCATGCATAATTAACAATGACTAATGTGTAGAGAGCGTGGCATTCTCTTTACAAGATGCATCGGATTTAACGTCCCCATTCTGACCGGATGGGACTGCGTACTTGTCCACCCCACACAACCAAACGGACCCTCTATTTTGTCAATGGTTTAACTGTTAATCGGAACAAGACCAATAGTGGCCATATTTCTATTTTCTGTCGAGGCGAGCGCGCGACCAAAGAGACAGTGCACCACTCAATCCCGGTCAAACTCTAATTTGGTATATAATGTTTAACGTTTTATATATTGAACGGAACTGAAGGACGGAAGGATGCACAACACAGTAAATATACTATCCCCTTACTATCAAAAGTTGGTCATAAAATTAAATTATCGTCCTATTTTACAAATGTCTGTTTTTCATAATTATTTGTAGAAGTTAAACAACAAACATTTTAAAAAATTAGAAAAACAATTCAAGAGCAATAACGTTAAATTACGCATACGTTTGAACAGAATGAACAGGTTCTTCCTAGAATCCATGCATTATTATAATTAAAGACAAGTTATAAAAAAATTAACTGAAGATGCGTCCTCATAAATTTCATTTGATAAAATTCAACGGAAAGGTGACAAAGTACTATCAGAAAGATGCATCAGTGATCTGAGTTTTTACCTTTGACAAAAGTATCTTGAAATTTAATTATATAAGTATGTTAAAAAAAAAGAAGAAGCAAGTCGTGTACACCTTTTGTATTCCGGCGTGTTTGAAATTATCGTTTTAATCTTAGTTAATAACTATTCCTCGACCAAAGTCTGAACCATACTCGATCAAAGTCTAAACCTTATTCGACCAATAAACCCCTGCCTTATCAATCTTGAATATATAACTATAATTTATTCAACGCTAAAACCACCTGTTTTTACATTGAGTTACTAATAGAACATGAATCTGTGTGTTTTTTATCAGTAAAATCACCATTATATTGTACCACTTGGTCCAATTTCTAGCCAAGGAAAACAAATTTTGTTAAATAATAGACTCTAAATAGAAGAAATACAGATTAAGAATAAGTCGGGGATTGCTAAGACTTTGCCGAGTACGGTTCAGGCTTGGTCGAGTATGGGTAAGACTGGAGTCGATGTTGATTCTGACTCTTTAAAGTTGTTAAGAACTGGTTAAGTACAGATCGAGTACATGTTCAGACTTTTTAGTATGGTTAAGACTACAGTCCAGTTATATCAAGTAAAAATCAGACCAATTCAAAATGGTCGAGTAAAAACCAGTACAGTCAATTTTGTAGTGCATTTGGACACGTTTGTGGGGATCGGACACGTTTGGAGTAATCGGACATGTTTTGGGGGATGGAAACATTTCTGAGTGTTACACATATATGGAATTTAATTAAAAACTGAGCAAGATAATACAAGTGAGGAGACCAATAGTTTTAATTTAAAA